CTAATGTTACATGACGTATTGCTAATGGGCATCCTACACATGCACCTGACTCCACTGTTTGTGCGTGGGGGGGGGGGGGCAATACACCCACAAAACGGTCTTCAATAGTAGGGACTAAATGGCGGTTCTGGCTCATTTGCTCATTTCACCTGACTATACCCTTCTTAAATCCCTTCAGTCCCTTTAGCCCTTTTTTACCATACGTATAGTATTTTTCTATTTAGTCCCTTTAGCTCCTTTAGTCCCTTTAGCCCATTTAGCCTCTTTAGCCCCTCAGCTCCTTTCAGTCCTTTGAGAACAAGATTTTAAAAATTCTTTTTTAAAATGAAAAAAAAAGAAATTGCGTCAAGTATTTAAGAAAAAACTATACGTATGGTAAATAAAGAAAGATGTCGAATACAAAAGGGAGTTTCCGTAAAGAAATTAAGAAGCTTGCATCAGAGCGTAAGAAGCGTCGTGAAAGAAATGAGAGGGATTTAAAAAAGGAATATAAGGCGGCGGATGTAACCGAGTGTGGACATCCGTACATAGGATGTGTCGATGATATTGGTCGCGGTAAACCTGAAGAAGCGGTGAGGAGACTAAGGGAATATGCTGAGTTAAGAAATAGAATAATGTTGATGACGGAGGAGGCGATGGTTGAGACCAGAAGAGTTATTAGGGAAGAGGTAAAACCGAAACCGTTGACGGTAAAACAGTTAAAATTAATATTGGGAAAGGTTCGGATCCATTATGATTACAATCCAAAGAGATCACACCTTTTACAGTTGTATAGGGAAAAAGTCGCAGAACCACCGCGGTCCGTTTCAGAGATCGAAGTAATGACGGCAATAGAGATGAAGAGAGAATTAAGTCGGTTGGGATTAGATTTCTTAACGAACATGAGTAAGCCAGTTTTAAAGAAAATTCTTGTTGACAATGCGGTACGGAATAAGGATTTAAAACTAAAACCGTTTGAATGGAGTCATCGTGTCAGTCGGAGTTGGTTTGCAATAAGTCAATGGTATTTTACTCGGAAACTGACAACGGAACCATTTACGATATGGGCATTCGTAAAGGGAAAGGGTAGTGGGACTTGTTGTATATATTACAGTATGTAAAAAAATAAATTTTTTCATCAACCATAAATATAAAACACTATAAAAAATATCTCCGGTCAGCGCGGAATTTCCTTACGAATCTGTATACTCATTTCTATTTTTTTCCATACTCATTCGGAGTATGGAAAAATTTTTTCATTAACGTCTCATAGAGAAATGTGTATATAATAAAATAGAAATGTCTTTCCGTAAGGAAATTAAAAATCTCGCCTCGGAGCGTAAGAAGCGTCGCGAATTAAATGTGAAAAATTTAAAGAAAAGTCTTGCGGAAGAAAAGTCGTGGTCGTATAATATTGCGAGAGAAGAAGCTCGTCGTCGTGGTACGGAACGAAAAGAAAAAGCTATGAAAAGAAGACGTGTTTCGGAAGAGAAAAGACGTGTTCGTAAAGAAAAATTGGATCAGAGAGATTTGAACGAGACGGTTCATCAACGGAATCAAAGACTTCGTCGGAACGAATTAGCGAGACAAAGACGTGCGAAAAAGAAAGAAGAATTAGAGGCGGCTAGACTTTTGGCTGCTCAGGATTTAACACCTATTCTTCAGGAAACCGCATCACGTGGAATGGTTTCCAAGTATGGGATTACACCGACCGTAGCATATGATCCTATTCCATTTTTGGAAACTGTTCGTGTGAAAGTACAAGAACTTTTAGATGGTTTACGTGGGAACGAATCTAGATATGTCAGGTTAGAATTAATTTGTCTGATGGGAAAAGTAGAAGAGGGGAAGGCATCAGAAAAAGACGTATCATTCGCAACGGGAAATCATAAACTTTATGGGGTGGGTACGATGACGGATGATCTTTGGGAAAAGATGAAAGACAAAGTTTTAGAAGAATTTTCGCGGTATCAGAAGAAAGGAAGCAATTGGACGTTGAAAAGAGTTCAGTATTTGGATATTCACGTCGGAAAATTTATTCCGTTGAAAGGAAAAGGTTCTGATATTTCTCTTCCAGAATTTATAAGGGACAAACATGCATTGATCAACATGAAGGATACAGACGATCAATGTTTTAAATGGGCGGCGACCCGATCATTAAATCCTGTGAATAAAAATTCGGAAAGAATTACGAAAAAACTTCGTGAACAAGCCGACGAATTATATTGGAAAGGAGTTGAATTTCCGACTCCAGTCGATGGAGAATCTATCGAAAATTTCGAATAACGGGGTAAATGTCAATGTTTTTTCGTGGGATGAAGACGACGGATTTCATACGGTGAGAATCAGTAAGTGTTTTTCATCGGGAGAAACACGAACGATCCGTCTTTTTCTCTGGGGTGATCATTATTATGTCATTAAGAATTTATCAAAACTAATTAGATCTCAGATGAGTTCCCACGAGCATGCAAAATATTTTTGCGATGCATGTCTGCATGGATTTGGAAGAAAGGATCTTTTAAAAGAACATTTGGAATGGTGTTTGAACGAAGATCAACAGATCGATAAATATCCGGACGAAGGTTCCGTCTGTGAGTTTAGAGGGGGACAGAGGACTCAGACTCATCCGTTTGTAATTAGTGCCGATACGGAATCTTTTTTGAAAAAGACGAGAGAAAATATCGAAAGGATTGAAAAGGATAACAATCCTAAATTTTCCGGCACGGAACAATTACATAAACATATTATGAATTCTTATTGTTTTCATACGGTATGTACGAATGAAAAGATCATGAAGTCGGAGACGATCCAGCGTACGTCAGTCCATGAATTACAATGTATATCCGATCGGTTTGTGAATGATCTTGTTGGAAGGGTACGTGACTTTTTCCGGAAGACACACGTTCCCGTTCCTATGGAAGAGATGTCTCGTAATTTAATAAAAAATCACGAGTCAAAAACGCGTTGTTATGTATGCAATTGTAAATTTACGGAGAACAATTATAAGGTAAGAGATCATTGTCATTTTACTGGAAAATATCGGGGTGCGGCTTGTAATGAATGTAATTTAAAAATGCAGGTTCCATCATTCGTCCCGGTTTATTTCCATAATCTAGAAGGTTACGATGCACATTTAATCATTCGTGCACTTGCAAGGATACCGGGTAGATTTAAATGTCTTTCCAAAACGGAACAAAAATATATATCTTTTTCAAAGATGATTTCTGTAGGACCGTTTGTGGACGAAAAAACCGGAGATAAATATGGTAAGATTGTTGAAATTCGGTTTTTGGATTCTTTTAAAATGGCATCGTCTTCGTTAGATAAACTTGCGAACGGATTAAATAAGGAGACTGATTTTATAAGTCTGGATCGGTATTGTGATAAGATGGGATATATGAAAGAACAACGAAATTTATTGAAACAGAAGGGAGTGTATCCTTACGAATGGATGGACGGACATGATAAATTCAACGCGAGACGTCTTCCTTCGAAAGAAAAATTCTATAGTGGATTGAGAGGTGAAGATATTAGCGACGAAGATTACGAACGTGCAAAAAAAGTATGGAAAGTTTTTAAAATGAAAAGTATGTTGGATTACCATAATTTGTATTTAGTCACGGATACGTTAATATTATCCGACGTGATTGAAAATTTCCGAAAACAGAGTAGGGAGACGTACGGTTTAGATCCTCCATGGTATTTTACGGCTCCGGGATTATCGTGGGATGCCTGTTAAAAAAAGACGAGGATCGTCTTACAACTCATTACCGATCCGGACATGTATGAATTTATCGAAAAAGGAATTCGTGGTGGTGTGAGTACGGCAGTGATGCGATACGGAGCCGCCGATAATAAATACATTAGTATTTCAGATATTCCAGAAGGTGTTACCGAATTAATGAAAGATTTGAATGTACGAATTCAGAACGATCCGACCGAGATCGAAAAAAAAGTGTTGGATTTTGAAAACAAACTCTGTGTGTTTTTATGGGATTACGATCAGGAAGAGGATGATAAAATTATGACGTACGTGAGTAAAAATTTAACGCGATGGGTAACGGAGCTTCGTAATCGGAAGACTGACGTTCCGTCCGTATTCATTCCGTATTTGGATGCAAATAGTCTGTACGCTTACGCGATGAGTCAACCTTTACCTTACGGAGATTTCGAATGGATGGAGGATTTTGAGAATTGGGACCGTCTTCCAGGGGGAAAAGGTTGTTTTTTAAAAGTAGATTTAAAATATCCAGAAAAACTTCATGATCTTCATAGTGACTATCCACTTGCTCCCGAAAGAATAGTGACGGAAAGTGGCATACCGAAATTGGCACCGAATTTAAAGGATAAGAAGGAATATGTTGTTCATGCGAAAAACTTAAAGCACGGGATGGTATTGGAGAAAATTCACGATGGAGTCATGTTTTCAGAAAAACCATGGATGGCAGAATATATTCACATGAATATCGAACTTCGTAAAAAAGCCACGACAGATTTTGGAAAAGATTTTTATAAATTAATGTGTAATGCTATTTTTGGAAAGACGATGGAGAATGTGAGGAACCGTGTCGACATTCGTCTGGTGAATAGCGAAAGACATTGGAATAAATTAGCGAGAGAACAAGGCGACGATCTTTTCGGAAGATTTAGTTGCATCTCATATGAAAAAGACCGAAGTCAATTTAAACAAACCTATTTATGTCGGTGCTGCCATCTTAGATCTGAGTAAAATACACATGTATAAATTTTTCTACGATTATCTCAAACCGAAATTTGGAGAGAATGTGAGATTAATGTATACGGATACGGATTCGTTCATTTTACATGTAAAAACCGAAGATCTTTTTAAAGATATTTCAAATGATGTGGACGAATGGTTCGATACGAGTAGTTTTCCAAAATCTCACCCATCAGGAATTCCATGTGGGAGAAATAAGAAAGTCTTAGGAATGATGAAATTTGAAACGGCTGCAGAACAGATTACCGAATGTGTTAATTTGCGAGCAAAATTATATTCGATCAAAATGGACGGTGGTAAAGAAGAAAAGAAAGCCAAAGGGATTAAAAAGGCGACGATCAAAAAAACATTAAAATTTGTGGATTATAAAAATTGTTATCTGACGGGCAAGAAACAGTATCGCGAAATGGATACGATCCGTAGTCGGAAACATATTATTCATACGGAACGGATAAGTAAAGTGGCATTATCTGCCGACGACGATAAAAGATATATTTTAGAAGATGGAACTCATACGCTACCTTTGGGTCATAAAGATATTCCCGAATAGATCCTACAAGTACATCCTGCGAACGTATTGAGTAAGACTTGAATTTACTGACGAATAAATTCAAGTAAAATTTAAATATATTCTGTCATATCCTGCGAGTACAATTTGACAGGAGACCTAAGTAAATTTGAAGAATATCCTATACTATCTTGTAAGTAAGACTTGGCAGTAATCCAAGTAAATTTCTAAGGCTGTCCTGTGGAATCTTGTAAGTAAGACTGAAGTAAATTTTAAATAAATTTTAAGTAAATCCAGGTATATAATAAAATGACAGAACCAGCAAAGAATCCGACTCTGACAGTCACAGATCCCATCCAAATCAAAGTTAAACATCCACGTAAAATTGCGGCGGGAAAAAAAATTGCGGCGGGAAAAAAATTGGCGGCGATTAGTCAACAGGCGAAAGCAGCGAAAAAAGCAAGATTAGAAATGGAACGACAACAACAGGAAGGTGTTGTCGGAGAGATTTACGAAGAAGAAAATAAAACATCGATGTTTTCGTTGAATAATATATGTGTGATCTGTGGATTAAGAATTAGTCTTGGATCCCTCTATCTTACATGGCGAAATAGTTGTGCATAGAAAGAAGATGATGATGAATTAAAAAGTTTTGCGAAAGAAGAAGTAGAAAAAATACCTTTTGACGACTTGTTTGATTGAGACGACTGCAAGGAATTATGGGAGTCATCAATGTCTTTTGGAAAATTCCATACGAAATTAAAAGATGAGTATACAGATTTACGGTAACTCAGCACTAATAGGGAACAAGAAGATTTCCGTCATCGAGTCTGACGAAGGGACGATCTATTTTGCGGCGAAAGAGCTAGCACTTGCACTTGGATATAGAAACACCGTCGATGCAGTTGCCAGGCATACTGACGTAAGATCCAGAACCGTATTTAGAAATATAGTGCCATCGGGAAACACGCTGGCAACTCATATACGACCCAATGCAATTCTTATTACCGAACCAGGCGTATACGGACTTGTGTTCGGATCTAAATTACCCACCGCCGAAGAATTTAAGTGGTGGGTATTCGAGGACGTTCTTCCATCCATCCGTGCGTTACCGGGTGTCTTGAATAAGGTAAAAGATATTGAAGACGATGAATTACGACAGCTTGGAGGTACCAAACAAATGGAAGCACGCTATGAACTTGTTCGCAAAGGTAACATTGTGAAAGATCAGCGGAAAGTTGAATCTGGTAGAAAAGGAGGATTAGCTGCACAGGGAAATATTAGACAGTTTAAAATAGATTTACACGAAAAGGAAATAGAAACCCTAGGACTTGAAGAGGAACGGGATGGACTCGAACTCGAAATATACGAACTTGAAGGTAAACTGGATGAACGGGACAAAAGGATACGTGAGCTCGTAGAAGGGCAGGATAAACGGGATGAAAAAATACGCAAGCTTGAAGACGAAAACGGAAGGCTCGAAGAGGATACGGAAACCCTTGCGGATATAATAGAAAATATAAACCGCGAATTAGAAAAATTATGTCAGTCGTAAAAAAAAATAAATTATTTTTTCATAAATATTAGATGTCTTTATTACAAATGTCCCAAACTATTGGAAATCTGTTAAAGTTGTAAAAAGCTTGGTGAGATCCGACCATGATATGGTTATCACATACCCCCGAAACATAGTTAAAGCAACAAGGACAAATTCCTATTTCAGAGATGTGAGACAACATCATCAATTGAATATGCTTCGTGAACTTGAATCTATTGATTGGAACACGATAATTATGAATAGCCATAACCTAGATGAGATAACCCTAAAATTTTATGAAATAATATGGCCAAAATTCGATAAGAGCTTCCCACTAATTAAGGTCAGAACGTCATCACACGACCCTCCGTTCATGTCTCCTTTTGTGAACCACCTTCTGAATCAAAGGAAAAGAGCCATACAAAACGGAAATACTGAAGCAAATACACGATTGCAAGAAAAAATCAACAAGTTAATTCGGGAAAATCAATTAAGTGCAGTCAAACAGGAGTTTGGCAACCAGAAAACTGGATCGAAAAGTTGGTGGTCTAACGTAAATAGCATTACATCGAGAAAAAAGAAACATGATGTATCAGTAAGTGCTTCTCTTAACCCTACTGAAATTAACAAATATTTTCAAAGTGTGAATACAGACCCAAATTATACGACTCCCGAGCCTCTTCAAATCTCCGAAGGAACAAGAATTCCCTCGTTGTCAATTCATGAAGTTCAACATCTTTTACGCAATCAAAAACGCTCTTCATCGGGTCCGGACAATCTGCCATATTGGTTTTGGAAATCGTTTGCTATTGAATTAGCTCCTATTGTCACAGAAATTTTTAACATGTCACTAAAAACCAGCAAAGTACCTCAGAAATGGAAATCCGCTAATTTATTACCACTCCCTAAAGAATCACCATTAAATTCGTGTAACCAGTTAAGACCAATCTCTCTGACGGACATCATCATGAGACTATTCGAGAAGTGCGTGTATAAATCTGAAATCGAACCTATCACAAGAAATAACATTGGTCCTGACCAATTTGCTTATAAAAAGGGTCACAACTCGACTATGGCTCTGATTAAATCCCAACATCAATGGCTAGAGTGGCTGGATAAAAACGCTAATTATGTTAGAGTGCTGTCGTTCGATTTCAGCAAAGCATTTGACAGTGTGCCCCACGATCTTTTGTTTGAAAAAGTTAAAAAGCTACCCATTAATCCGTATGTGGTGAACTGGTTAATTAGCTTTCTAGAAAATAGAATACAAAGAGGAATGGTTGATGGAATGGTTACAGAATATTTATATATTAATCGTGGTGTCCCTCAAGGTACTGTTTTAGGCCCAGTTCTTTTCTCAATAATGGTTGATGATATTAAAACTGCTGATCCTAGTAATGCGTTAGTCAAATTTGCTGACGATTTGACGTTAGGAGTGCCTGGCAACGAAAGTGGTGACACATCTCGATCTGAAGCTGCCTGTTTACAGGATTGGGCGGAAGAGAATAGAATGCCCTTAAACTTGGAAAAAACGCACGAAATAGTTGTTCACAGACACACCTCTGTAGTTTTGCCCGAGCTTATCCCTTCAATTAAGCGAAAAACATGGCTAAAGCTTTTAGGAGTTACTCTACAAGATAACCCGTGCAACTGGGATTTGCACTTTGAAGAAATGCTCAAAAAAGCAAGTGGACGAATGTACATTATGAGAGTTTGCAAATACTATGGACTATCAATTAAACAATTAGATCTGCTGTTTGATAGCCTAATTATGTCGATATTCACTTTTGCTATTGAGCTGTGGGGTTGTGCATACGACGGTAAATATTTGAACCAAATAGATAAATTCATTAAACGTGCACATAAGAATGGTTATATATCAAAACGAACACACATTAAAGAAATACGTGATAAGAGAGATAAGAAACTGTGGAACAAAATAACATCAACTGAGGACAATGCACTGCTTGAACTGCTGCCGGAAAAAAGAAGTAGGTTACTTAGGCCTAGGGGGCATGAGTATGAACTCCCCCTAGTGAGAACAGAAAGATTCAAAAGGTCGTTCATAAATCGTTGTCTGTATAACTTTGTTTAGACTTTAATCTATTTAGACTTTAATCTATTAAAAACTTTTTAAAACTTTTTACGCTTCTTAACTTACAATTGTAAATATAACTAGATCAATTACCTTTCGATTGTAAACTCAGACGGATGTATCTGAGTATTTTAATAAAGACTATTATTATTATTATTATTATTATTATAATAAAAAAATGTCTAACACAACGAAAAATGGAGTTATTGGTGGTTTGTTCAGTGCCGCCTTACTGACCGCAAGTGCTGTCGGTGTTTCGTATACTGTAGGAACTATTGTGGATGCTATGATGCTGGGAAAAAGTGTGATGGAGTCAAGCCTTGTCGTCGCAGGAGGTACATTTGTCATAACGTATTTAACAGGACTTAGGGCTGAAGTGACATCTTTAGAAGACGAAATAGACGAACTTGAAGGAGAGAATGAGAAACTCACAGAAAAATTAGAATGGACAAGGGAGTATACTGATCGTAAAAATGGAGTCCCAATCCAGGATAACCCTTCCGAATAGGAAAAAAAAAAATTCTCCTAAGAAATAAAAGACTATAATGGATACGAAAAAAGAAGTGATCAACGACTTGTACGATGCAGCCTTACTCACCACGGGAGTCGTCGGTGTTTCGTATGCTGCAAAAACTATCGTCGGGAAAAGTTTAGGGGCACCGATGACATTGGAAGGTGCGATGAAATTAAGTCTTGCCGTCGCGGGAAGTTCATTTGCCGTGGCGTATTTAAAAGATAAAGGCTACGTTCCCAAAGTGATTAATAAATGACAACCTCCAATTTAATCGTCGGTGGATTATTTAATGCCGTTGCGTTTGCGGGAGCAGGATTTTTATTTTCGCATTTAAATCAAAATGGATACAAAGAAGAAATCAAAAGACATAATCATGCACTAGAAGAATTAGCCGAAGCGAAAGAGAAATTTTACGAATCCGAAGTGAAAAGACGGAATCAAGAATTACGACGACGTCAAGAAATTTTAGACGCGAATCATGATATCGAAGAGACGAATAAAGCGTTAGACGCACTGAAAAATTATAGTCGTCAACAAGATTTATCGGCCTTGGATCGAAAACCAAAATTCAAAGATTATTATCAACCGTCGGACGAGATGCAAAAATATATGTATGTTACCGTAAGTGTCGTCGGTCTCGGTAGCGGATATGTACTGACGCGAATTTTTTAAGTTGACGTAAAAAAAACTTAAAAAATTATGTGACGAGAAAACATTTGAGAACCGTTGATTTTTTTCGAACGGATGAATTTCCTGCCGTATCGATATTTCTAAATTTTAATCCGTAGATGGTAATTTTTTTATTGGCTATGTAAAAGAATGAGAAAGTCGTACGAACGATACCGCCCGATTGCGTTTCGGTAAACATGGCGACATTTCCCGTACTTCCGGCGTAAAATCCATACGTGGGAGATTGCGTTTCCTGATTGATCCCGACACCACTTACTTTAAAAATAATGAATTTTGCATTTTTCTGATCGGTTGTCGAAACGGTGGTGGTTCCGAGAAATCCCGGTGGATAGCCAGAAAGTTGTGTAAGATCGTATTGAACGGGTGGATTTCTTCCGATGTCGTTCAAGTCGATCAGTTCGGTTTTATTTTTTTGAATTTCGGCCGTATTTGTCTGTTGTTTTTCTTCGAGATCTTTTACTTTTTCTTTGAGATCGTCATTCTCAAAGTAATCATAACCCATAAGAATACTCATTATTATGCTTTATTTCCATAGAAAATAAGCAGCTCCCATCGAAATAGCAGTAATCATTCCCAAGTTTAGGGTCTGTGGATCCGTTGCAGGATTCTCATCCGAATTTATCGTAGGATTTGTTGTGGGATCCTTATTTGAATTTATCGTAGGATTTATTGCTGGACTTACGGGATTTACTGTAGGACTTTTCATAGGATTTATTACAGGACTTTTCGCTGGATTTTCGACAGGTTCTTCTGTAAAATTTACTTTTTCATTCTTTCCAAAACTCATCCCATTTTTTGCGATCGTTAAAATATTATTGTAGCCAGCCAAAGGTTTTTGTAAAATTTTCATATCGGACGGTATTAAAATTAATCCTGGCATGATGGCAAAATTTAAGACGACGTGTGTATCCGCGATCGCCGTTCGCATATTTCGAATGATCGTCGTAATATCATTCTGAACAATACTATCTTTCACGACTTTTCGAAAGACTTCTTGCGTCTGTAAACTTTTTGCACCTTGTCCTACAATACTCCATCGGGTTTTAGCCTGCGATCCAAGAACGGCATAGGTATAAACTTCGAGAGATTGTTGAAAGAGCCGTTGTCCTAATTTCGTCAATCCACGCGATGTTTTCGGAATGAAAATTTTATGATCTTCCGCCACATTTTTTGGACTTTTTCCCGTTAAGTATTGGTACTCGATGTACGTTCCACCGTACGGTGTTCGTACGTAATGTTGATTACGAATTCTTTTTCGAGTATCTGCAGGTAATCCATAATACCACGTTCCCACATTTGCATGCGAGGATACGGTTCGTCTTTCCCATGTTTCGTGGACGGGTGTATATTTTTTCAAAATGTAAATATCATCTTCGGTCAGTAAATGATCGAGTAATTTTGGATTTTTCATGAATTTTTCCATCTGATAATGAACGTGAAATCTTACGGTTGATGTGACTAAGTGAGAATGAGAAATGGAATTATTCAGGTGATCTTCGGAAATTCCAGATTTAAAGGTGGCAACATAACATGCTGCCAATGAACAAAAATAAGAATTTTTATGATAATCAAATGAAATGAGATTAATAAATTTTCCTGTTTCTTTGTATTCAGGTATCGTAAATTCAAGATTCACAGGAGAAGAGTCTGTTTCCGACACGTAAATTTTAAATGTATGGAGATCCATCCCGAACTTAAAATTCGAACGGAAAATAGCGTCCGACGCAACGTTACGCCATCCGTTTCTCCAATATAAATATTTCGTCCAATCTGGATTATGTAAAAATGTATCGGACGTAATATCATAACTTGTATCATCATCCACCTTGTACCAAATACTCGTAGAATCCAGGGTTCCATCTTTTTTAAAATCCACTTGGAAATTAAATTTCTGCATGGTCGCGTTGGGATAATTCTGTAAAAAATTCTTTTTCAGTTTTTGGATTTCAAGGGGATAAGCTTTCTGGACTTTCTCGTAATTTTTTCCGTAATATTGACGGAAGATCTGTTTTTCTTCCTTATTCATTTATATTACGCATAATTCCAATAAGATATTTCCAGGGACAATATCGTGAATATTAGATTTCACGACGAAATGGAGTTCGTTGTAAATTCCCGCATCCACACCGACTTCACTTTCGATGTCGTTGTATTTCGTCGTCGTTCCAAATAATGGTTTTGTTCCGTCGATAGGAAGCGACGTGATGTTATTACTGGGGAATCCCATCGGATCTATATTTCGAGATCGGTTCGCTAAATTACATCCGACCGTCACGTAACGTAATCCTTCGTGAATATCTACGGGACGATCGCCTGGATGCGTTGTGGAAAAGGTACTGGTGTAACCTGATAAATCTCCAAGTCGCCATAAATTTAAAGATTTTATACCTTTCGTGAATCCAATCTTGATACGACCGTCGGGAAATTCTTCGACGGATAATCCATGACTTTCGAATTTTTTTCGTAAATTTTTAAACGTCCAATATCCTTCGTCCAACGAGACTTTTTTCTTATCGATGGAAAAATAGTCGTTGTACCCTTTCCGAATATTCTGATAATTCCAAAAGACCGCGGCTGTTTTCACGTAGAGTTTGGACGCGTGGGTTAGAACTAACGGATTCAGTAATTTGACCGTCGTCTCTCCACCTTCGATATAAACTGTAATCTTTTTCATTTATATTCTATGAAAATATAAAATGGGATTACCTTTAGATTTAGCCTTACGCGAACTTTATTTTAACGTCAACGGTGGTTACATGTCGATGGAAAAATTATATCGGGATGCGAAAAAAGAAGGTGTCGAAGGAGTCACGCGAAAAAATGTGAAAGAATGGTTGGAAACACAAAATACGTACATCGTGCATAAACCAATCCAGACCCATTTTAAAACTCAACGAACATATGTCGACGGACTTGCCCAACAGATTCAAATGGACTTGGTAGATATGCAAGAATTTAGTCATGCAAATCAAGGAAACCGGTGGATTTTAACGGTGATCGAAATTTTAAGTCGGTATGCGTTTGCCGTTCCAGCTTATCGAAAAGGTACGAAAGATATGGTTCCGGCTGTCGAACAAGTTTTAAAACAATTTTACAAAAGATTTGGACGTTATCCAAAAGTAGCCCAGTTTGATAACGGAACGGAATTTTACAATAATGGGGTCAAGGCGTTATTAACCGAACACGACATTCATTATTTTTCGACAAGACTGACCGGTAAAAAAGCAGCGATCGTCGAAAGATTCAACAGGACATTAAAAACAAGAATGTGGAAATATTTTACGGAAAAGAAAAAGAAATGGATAGATATCTTACCGAATCTCGTTAATTCCTACAATCATTCCAAACATCGAACATCGGTATGAAACCTGCCGAGGTCAACGAAGAAAATAAGGACAAAGTCTGGACGAGAATTTATGGTTATCCATTAAACCATTTTCCAGAACCAAAATTTAAAGTGGGGGATCGTGTAAGAGATATGATCTACCGGGGAAAATTTGACAAGGGATACACACCAAATTATAGCGATGATATTTATATGATCTCGGAAGTATTTCGCGGTGATCCAAACATGTATAAAATCAAAGATCCCGATGACAAGGAGGAAGTCCTAGGAAGATTTTACGAATCCGAATTATCATTAGATTTAAGTAATAAATAAAATATGGAAGACATCGAATTAAATGACATTGATAATTATGACTGGGATCCTTGGGAAGATGGTTATGAGGAAACTAATTTAAATGATGACGACTTGTACGAAACAGGATTGGAAGATTTAGATAGACAAGATGACGAATTATGGATGATGGATTTTAAAAGAAACAACGAAGACGATACATTTAAAAAAAGAAAAAGGGAAACTAATTTCCTGTATACGACCGGATCATCCGTTGACTTAAAATCTGAATATATGAAAAAACTTTTTACAGAAAATTATAGATTGAATCCGAACGACGGACCGAATTCCAAAGATCTATTTTCTCGACTGGATGTTGTCGATAAGTATTGGTTGACGTTCGATAATGTTAAAGTCGCAACCATCGAAAGAAATGGAGATTTCAGATTCTCGAAAGATAAAAGATTCGAACAATCCATCAAAGATTTCAGAACTACCTTCGAAAAAGCAACGGAAGAACATCGAAAAACATTAAATAGTATTACGGAAGAAGAAGGAGGAGGTGAAAATACCGATGCTATTTCTGACGATGTCCGTGATGAAATTCATCGCGAAAATATCGACGAGAATATTGAATTTCACGACCGGGTTTTACAATTCCATAAGGATGGGAAATTTACAGAACAAGAAACAAGAGAATTGGTGGGAATTACAAGACCCAAAGGAAAACCCGAAGAAAGAATAAAATTTTTGAAAATAGAACGTGAAAAAATCAAACAGGATTCACAAACTGAATCCGATCCATCAAGGAAAGACATTTTTCGCGAAGCCATAGAAATTATCGAACAAAATATCGACGATGCAAAATTAGAAATGTTCGAACGTCCCGAATCCGAAGAAGGGATTCATCGCGTTCGTAAAAAAGTACGCGAAGATACGCGTACAAAATTTGAAAAATTTAAACGATGGGCTAGGGAAAATTTAGGAAGTATTGCTGCGATCGCTATTTCTATACCCGGTATTATTACGACCGTTGTCGTCGCTGGAAAAAAAGACGTTGGTTGGGGCTGCAAAAGGGGTAGGTGCAGTGGGAAAAGCCTTGGCTAAAGTTGCGAAAGCCGCATTACCCGTTCTCGTACCCATCCTGAATATGTTGGCAACTATTCTCAAATGGGATGCGAAAGGATTAGAATTTCTTGCTAAAAATTTATGGATTTTAGCTATATTGATCGCTGGATATCTGTATAATTATTTCACGAAGAAAAAATAAATTTTTTATTTCCATGAAATAAAAGATGAACAGTCGTACCAATGAACTCATGCCTGATTTCCATCGTCAATCCAGGACGGAACTCACGGGAAATAGGACAAGACATCTCATTACGTTCAATCCAAATTCTGCCAAACCGGGAGAAGAAATTTATGTGAATATTCCAAAATTGAAACCGGATTCGGTTTTAGTTCCCGATAGTATGGCGTTGATATTTGACTTTAAAAATGCTAACGAGAAATCCTGGTTTCGCAACAACTTAGGGAAATTACTACAAAAAAGATTAGAAATTCGGCTAGCCGGGGAAAAAATCTATGATAACAGTGGTGAAAGTTTGATGGAAATTTATAAAGATTTATGGATGGATGAAAAACAACGTGCGGATAAAATAGAAGATGGAATTGCGACCGAAGCCGTCCGGAAGAAAATTTCAAAAGACGACGAAGCCAATGCTGATGCTGATGCCACCGCCTTGTTCGGTATCTTCGGAACGAAACAACGTATCAAAATCAATAAGATTCTAGGTGATCATGGACTGTATGCTCCGTATCATTCTGCCAATGATTTACAATATGTCATCACCTTACCACAAGCTTCAGAAATTATGAATACACAGAGTGGGGAAACTGTCGAAGGTTATACACTGGAAAATATTGAATTAGAATATGAATCTATTGAAAACAATAAACTCGCAAGAAAATCTGAAAACTTATACGGAGCCGAACGAAAATTATCTTTTGAACATACGACATTGATGAAAAAGACCGAATGGGATAAAAATACAACCATCGTTAATGAAACTGTCAATGTTCCACGAACTGTCAATGTTCCACGTTTCCAAATATTGAAAAAGTCAAAGTCACGATCGAAGGTGTACCCAATGTCATTTACAGTCAGGGCATGACAAAAACAAGGATGTATGAAGAAGCCAAACGGCTCTTTGGAACCGATGCGAATAGTCAACAATCTTTAATTAAATTTTACAAAGATAAGAAATTCGCACTCGTCATCGACTTACGAACCGTGAACGATCCTAAAACTTACGGGAACGGTGTCAAAATTCAAAATACTCAATCCGGAATCTTAGTCGAAATTACAAAGAAAGCAACGACGGCGAACGTCATCTGTTATACGTTCGTTCTTTCAGACGGCGGCATTAAAATTGTCAACGGACAATTTAATGGCGTAAGGTATTAGGTTGGGAGAAAACTTTTTTCATAGTCGAACGAGTATGAAAAAAATATAGTTCTCTATTCCGTCTTTGTATCTTCCTTTTCCGTATCCTTTTCCGTATCCTTTTCCGTCTTCACATCTTCCGTTCCTTTTCTTCCGTAAACATGTTTCGCTGTTGTAACACCACCACTTAAAATTCCTAAATACGGAATGTATGGAGATTTTCTTTCCACGATACTTTTCACGTCACTTTTTAATAATTTATCTTGATTTAATTCTTCTTTTAAATCATTCCCGCTATCGATCATACGAATATTTTCCAACTATCCTGAAAATTTTTCGATCAATGTTTCCGTCAATAGAACATTGACTTTTTCACGTTGATTGATTTCATAGTCCCGTTTAATTTTTAAAATAGTTTGCGGTCTTGTTTTTTTCAAATAATTTTCGGATTGCTTGATTTCACCTGCGTTCGATAGACGAATTAATTCCGCTCTTACCTCTTCTAGAATTTCCTGTTCTGTCTTTTCATAAGTTTCTTCCATTTTATTTATACTCCTTTTACTTCATAATGGTACGGATGAATTAAATCTAATTCTAAATACGAATACTGGTTTTCTCTTAATTTTCTACGAATGGATTCTATTTCATTTTTACCAACGACTTCTGGATCTATATATTCCTCTAACATTATTTTCATATCCGATTTGTTTGGATTATAGAACGTCACTAATTTTTGAATCTGATCACGAAATGGTTTGGCGATCGATGTCAACTGTTGTGTAATCACGATCAACGAAATATTTTGATGACGACCACTCATCCCTAATCTTACTAATTCACTCGTACGATCTTTAATAAATTTCGTACTCGCACAATCATCTAAAATAATTAAAGATTTTCTTCCCGATGCATAATTCGTAATAACTCTTAAATAATCTCCCACGTCGTCCTGATCACATTCGACGATAATAAAATTTGGATCTATGCTAATAAAATCTTGATCGTACGTCTTATTCCAATGATACGTCGGGCAAATTAAAAAGATCTTTTTAAATTCACGAAAATAAGTCGTCTTTAATTCTTCGATCAAGTAATGTGTTTTTCCACACGCCGTCTTTCCCACGATAATCATATTAAATGGTTTCATTTAATTAAAATGGGATGTTTCTCTTCTAAATCTATGGAAACTGTGAAACAGAATAAAAATCATAAGAGACGAAAAATGTTTAGTCTTGGATTCGGATTTGATCGTGGTGATGCGACGACTAGTATTCATACACAGATCGGATACGTCAGTACGACGGTTAAAAATTACGACGGAATAAAAGATGATAAGATTATTCCTGTGGAGGATGTTACTCTGGACGTGTCTGATCAATTGCCTACTGATCCCGATCACGTTCGAAATCCTGTTACTGATCATAATCCTGAATAAATTTTAAATAAATATTTAAAATTCTTTCCTTTTCTTCTTCCGACACATCCTTATTAATTTTACAGTCACGAACATCAGAATGGATAATGCAGACGAACTACAGATCGCACACGTTGCATACAAAACGTTGGCTTCTTCTTCCGTCAACGCCACGTTCGGATTGTTCGTATCATTGCTCGCAGATAATTTCATTGCCGAATGGATGATAGTTGTCATTGGATTCATTCTTTATCTTATACAGAAATTCCCTCTTCCCGGTGAAATTTTTCTATCAGACTATTCATTTCTTTCGTCGCCATCTCGTAAAATGTAGAATAAAAAAGATCGTAAAATGAATCCTCATCTATATCACTACACCAAAATAATTCCATGCATCCTTTTTCCCACACCTGCATAGATTCTTTCAATAATTTACTATCACCATCCCTAGCAAGACGAAAACCTGCACGCATCATATCCATCAATAATGATCGCATTTCTTTTTGAATCTCTTTCATTCTTTTATATACATGGAAAAATTTTTCCTAACCCCGACTGGGTTAGGAAACTATGGAACTATGGAATTAACGAAAGGTCCGGAAAAATAACGAGTACAATCAGTCCGAAATCTTAAGTCCTATTTTATTATATACTTTTTTCTGAAAATTTTTTTTTAAAAAAATAAATTCTAATCTCTCCATTCCTCAAAATTTTCGTCGTCGCTGTCATCATAGTATATATTAAATATTCTGGAAAATTCTTCCCTCGCCATCATTTTTTCTTTCAAATCATAAAAATGTTCCAGTATATGATGAAGTGTATAATTAATACCCAAATTCCCCCAAAATTCGGGACCATCTCTCCAATAAGGATTACCCTTCGTGACTCGCACTCTCCTTTCCGAACGTCTGATCTTGTCCCAACACTTCTTATACTTCAATATAAATTTATTGATTTCACTACGGGTACCTTTCGAATCTGTCATCTCTTTCTTTATTTACCATACGTATAGTTTTTTCTTAAATACTTGACGCAATTTCTTTTTTTTTCATTTTAGAAAAAGAATTTTTAAAATCTTGTTCTCAAAGGACTGAAAGTAGCTGAGGGGCTAAAGAGGCTAAATGGGCTAAAGGGACAAAGGAGCTAAAGGGACTAAATAGAAAAAATACTATACGTATGGTAAAAAAGGGCTAAAGGGACTGAAGGGATTTAAGAAGGGTATAGTCAGGTGAAATGAGCAAATGAGCCAGAACCGCCATTTAGTCCCTACTTTCAATTCCCACCATCTTTGCCTTAAAAAAAAACAGAGCCAGAGTTATCGTTCCAGTCCATTGACTGGAGCTGGTCGCATGACGTGAGGAAGGCTAATTAAACAAATGCATAACATTTTGCCGTTGTTTGGTCCGGCAATTACCGCGGATAAAGTTATAACGTGGTAAACACAAAAACGTGGCCCATGAGCGACCGAATAATTAATCTCCTTTTCAAAATATAAAATAACTGTACTTCTTACTTGAAGTGAGCGTAAAATCCACACAAGGCTTAAGTAATTTCGTACGTAATGATGGATTCTTCAGAATAATCTCTCTTCGGATCGTAATACTCTTCACAAAGGTTTCCTAAAAGAGAAAACATTGTTTGTCTCAAAGTTCACCATCTTACACTGCAACAAATGTTGACTCTTGAGTAAAATAATGCACTCGCAGACATGCAGTGATTCAAAATATGAGGTAAAATTACTCAAATTTAAAAAGTGAATTTATTCATTTTTTTACTCTGCATATTTACTCAAAGTAAATCTTTACTCCAAAAATTGAATAAATGTGAAACTTTATTAAAAAAACTTAAGTAAATTTGCTCATTCATTTTTAAATAAAAGTCATTTTCAAAATTTTGAGTCACTGCAGGTACACATACAAGTTTTCCACTCAAGTAAGTATTTACTCAAGGATTTGCAGCGTAACAAACTTATAAAACATGCGTTTTGAAGTATGCGACACAGGCTAAACAAACTCCACTAGACACAATTTATTTGTTCACAAGTTTAAATTATGTCAAGTGTGTTTCACGAAAACGAGCAACTTCTTGACGTTGCGTCTTATTGTCTATAAAGGTTAGTCAGGCGAGATTTTGAACCAGGGAAACATGATATTTGTTGTGTTGGTGTAGTGTACTCAGGTGAATAGAGTCTTGTGATGTTACTCTGAGTGTATATCCACACCGGGCAGGCTTGAAAAATATGCCTGGCCACGGTGGGAATTGAACCTACGACCTTTGGAATACTAGCCCAATGCTCTGCCAACTGGGCTACGCGGTCAGGTCGGTTCGAGTATGCGATATTTCGGAACTGAGTCTAGTTCCTTCGATATCAATGTAATCTAATAATCATGATATTTGCTGTGTTGGTGTAGTGTACTCAGGTGAATAAGATGCTTGTGATGTTACTCTGAGTGCATATCCACACCGGGCAGGCTTGAACAATATGCCTGGCCACGGTGGGAATCGAACCTACGACCTTTGGAATACTAGCCCAATGCTCTGCCAACTGAGCTACGCGGTCAGGTTGGTTCGATTCAGGTCGGTTCGAAACATGTTTATGTCCACGGGCTTTCAATATCCACCATGTTTGTGTTGCCCATATGCGTGCATACTGGTTACTGAGCTTTTATTCCTTTAATCTTTCATTTTTTGCCATGAACACGAGTAACTAATTCTTGCAAAGGAAAGATTGTTCACCACGCACAACGTTTATTTCAGAGATCAGTGACACACACGAGCAAAGAAACAGGGATGTTGGTAGCTGAGTGTGTAGGGCATGCGCAGTCACGGAGGTTCATTTGCTGCAATCTACAATACCGCGGTCAAACGTAGTATACAGAATGGCTGGGAAGATGTATGCCAAAATCATAGGAGCATACACGCGGGAAAAGCGTTTACTATAAGGAAACAGCTGAAGGTATAACGTAGGAAATTTCACCACTTTTTCCCTTTTCAAGACAAAGTTTTATACAAGTACAAGGATTGAATTTAAACTTGAATGCGAACAACACAGTTATCGTATACGGTAGTATACCTTAACATATTAGAGAGCTTTAGATTTGAGTACGAGTAACACTACGAAATTCGTTGTTTGCACATGTTGGCCATCTTCTTAAGTCATTGCGTACGCCATAACCTCGTAGTAGATGCTTGTTTTACCAGGAGACTTTTCAAAAATGCATTTGTCAGTTTAGCCACGACTACGAGATTTATACGGCGTCAGTACATGATATTCTTATATGTCGTATCCAAGTAAACGAAATCAATTTCGTTTT